CCTACTGAACCGGGGAATCTGCATTTTAACAAGATCCCCAAGTGACTTGCAGGCGCCTTAGGTTTGTGAGAAACAACTCTAAGGTGTCTTTGGACATTAAGAATCTGTGATTTTGTGACATCTGTGTGATTTTGTTTAGCTGGCTAGCCAGGCCCGGTTCTTTGGGCTTCTCCTTTGACTTGATCCCTGATGATGGCTCTGCCTTTGGCGCGCTTGAAATAGGTCCACTCGCTCATGATCAGAGTGCATTCTGCTCAGCGCAGTCTCCCCTCCTGAAGAAGTGTTACTAATACAATCTAAAATGACTACAGTTCTGTGGTCTACCGAACTGCCCACGGGGGTGGGGGTTTCAAACTTTTGGCATCTCAAAGAGACTTGAGATTACCGAGACCGGGATACCCACTTCAAGAGGAAAAGGTGACTCCTCACCGAGAGACATGACGAGGTGGGATCAAGGCCACGGGGGGGGGGGGGGGGGACCAGAATGCTGACTCAGGCAACCTGTCCCTGCCGCGCTGCCCTTTGTGCCCTCCGTATCATATCATGAGCTATTTTTCGTTTTCCATAAACCCGGTGGTGGGTGGAAGAGGACATCAAGCTTGTGTTGAGCGGGATTGAGGTAGGAGGTGGGGCTCAGACACCAGACCAGGTTGAGTACTACCTCAAGCAGGGCCAAAGTAGCTTTCCATCAGATAGGCCCACCAGTTGCCATGTCAGTCTACCGTTGCCATGGCCATATCAAGGCGTTACTGCCCCTTTCCATGGCAGTAACTCAATAATTACTACCCTTTCCTAGAAATTTCTGCATAAACTGCCCCTTAATCTGCATGCAATTAAATGTGGGTATAAATATGACTGCAAAACTGCCCTGAGCTGCTCCTCTCTGCCTGTGGGGTAGCCCTGCTCTGCAGTCATGGAGCAGTCATGGAGCTGTAACCCTGCCTCTTCAATAAAGCTGTTTTCTTCTACCTCTGACTTGCCCTTGATTTCTTCACTGGGCAAAGCCAAGAAAGAACCCTCCTGGGTGACGCTCCACCTTGGGACTCACCTGCCCTATATCAGGATTACAGGTGGGAACATTGTGGAGTACAGCAATCCACTGATACTGCCTCTGGTCTGCATGAGGGAGGGGGCACAGACCATAGCTTCAACCGTTGTTCTTGGGGACAGGACAAGGGGAAGAGGTGATTTCCTAGGGACTGAAAGGTGGGTGGTTTCCGGTTACCTAACATCTACTTCCTCTCTTCCCCATGCAAAGACGCTGGCATGGATGGCATCAGTCCTCACCCTCCTCAGTCAAGGGGCAGACACTATGTCGAGATTTAAATCCTGTCCCCGCCAGCAGGGACCCTCTGAGGCCATCCCACCCAGGGACACTGCCGGTGGGCTTCCCGGCTCTAGGAGCACTTGGGAATCTGCCCCTTCCTGCTGCTTCTCTAGCCCTCCCAGTGAGGCCGCGTCCTCCTCAGATCCTTTGACTTCTATCTGTGAAGTAAGTTTCTGTAGTCCTAGCTTAGGCAGTGATCATATGCAGAATTTCTCTCCATTTTCGGGGTTGAGAGTTTGACTCTAAAATCGCAAACCCAAATAATGAAAATAAATAAGCATAAATAGTCTCTAGCCTGTATTCATATAAATAATTAACTGCATGAGTGACTAAATGGAGTGAAGGGACAACTATTTTTTTTCCTTTGAGGCAAGATCTCACTCTGTCACCCAGGCTGGAGGGCGGTGACATGATCTCAGCTCACTACAGCCTGGCTGACAACTCTTTCTTGCAGAATTCCAATTAATACATGTGGAAGGAAGGAGAGACCTGGCAAATCACGACTGAAACACGACTGCAATCATTGCGGCAGGGTCCCCAGATGTGGCAAAATTAGCTGGTGAAAGCTTAAGCAGCAGCAGGATATATGCATAGTCTCAAAGTCTCTCTCCCAGAATAGATGTTTATCAAAAACAAAGGGTAAAATAGTCATTTTGCAGTGAAGAAAACTGGCATCACCACCTTAGCCACGAGACTCAGGTTTACCTCTCCAGAAACATGTTGTCATAGAAGGCGCTGGGAAGAGCACAGCACCGTGGAATTTCCCTGCCCAACAATGCACAAACTCACTGTGGGAAAACATTAGACAACCCAAGTGGAGGAACATTTCTACAAAATAACTGGCCAGGACCCTTCAGAAGTCTCAAGGTCGCAAAAGACAAGAAGACTGACAACTGTCACAGATTAAGGAGACAATGACTCCTATCAAGTGAAATCCTGGATTAGATCTTGGTACAGAAAAATAGCATCAATGGAAAAACCAGTGAAATAGGAATAAACTTTCTAGTTTAGTTCACAGTACGGTGCTCTTTTCACTTCCTTGCAGATTACTTCTCCAGTAGAGTTGTACTACAGTTACGTAAGAGGTTAATATAAGGGGCGTTGGGTGAAGGGTACAAAGGAACACTCTATTATTTTTGCAACAATGTCTGTCTAAAATGATCTTGGCTGGGCATGGTGGCTTATGCCTGTAATTCCAGCATTTTGGGAGGCCAAGGCTGGTGGATCACTTGAGGTCAGAAGTTCAAGACTAGCCTAGCCAACATGGTGAAACCCTATCTCTACTAAAAATAATACCATGATAATAATATAAAAATTAGCCAGGCATGGTGACACATGCCTGCAATCCCAGCTACTTGGGAGGCTGAGGCACAAGAATTCAGGAGGCTTGAACCCAGGAGGCAGAGGTTGCAGTGAACTGAGATCGTGCCACTGCACTCCAGGCTGGAGGACACGGCGAGACTCCATCTCAAGAAAGAAAACAAACAAACAAACAAAGATCTTAAAATAAAAACTTTTAAAAAGGATCTTGATAAGTTTAAAAATGCAGTAAAATTTGTTACTTAGTAACAAATGTGTTACTTAGACTAAAGAGCTTCCTGACAAATGTTAATACATAAAATTTCACTTGGGAAAAATACACTTTGTAGAAATAATGACCACAAAAGGAGATTGACAATGGGAGAAATTGTTTAAATCTGAAATGAGCAAAATAACCAGATATTGAATCAAATCTCTGTTGCAAAATGTAATAGAAAGTAATGAATTACAAATAAAATTCAGTAAAGGAAAAAGGAAAAGGAAGGAAAATGAAATCATTCATAGGAAATCGATTACAGGCTTAAATTACTTAACGAAGAGATTTTTTTCTATGTATGCAATTAGAGAATGAGAATACATTTGTGACCACAAGTTCCTAAACAGGGCATATCAAAACGTCTGTTTTTGTTTGTTTGCTTGTTTAAGATACCCAGATGTATGGTTAAGGAAGAATGGACAACATATGCAAATTCCATGCTTCAAGATCCCACAGTGCTTTAAAATATGGGGAGGATTGTTTCCGTATAACGTCTAACAGCATTGCCTGAACAGGGACTTATGCCCAAAATGACTAAAGAAATTAAGTCCCTGGGAACATGCAAGTAAATTACATCACCAAGCCAACTTCCGTCCTTAGTTATTTTATGGGAAAAAAATGCACCAGGTCCCCACTTCCAGTTGCCTTGCACAGGGAATATATAGCATCCTAGTACCTGGATACTATATGTCCCTACTCTAAAAGCAGTCATGGTGGCATCAGGGGTCCCATGGCATTATCAGTTCAGATGCTATATCTAACAGCCGACAAAAGAGCTAGAGAATCCCTTATAAGCAGAAATATTCCAAAGAACTTTAAGGATATATTTGCTCACTTTGCTGGCATTGGAGACTGTAGGGAACCAGCCTTACATCACCCGTGGTAGCCTGAGTTCGGTGGGACAAAGGAATGAGAAAGAGACAGGTTAAGAGAGAAAGTGGGACCAGGGGGCCATCACTATTATTCTGGAGAAAACAGTGAAGGCACCGAATTCTGATCCACACTATTCACTGGTTACAATCACTTTGATCAACAGGGTCTGGGTAGAGTGATGGTGGGGAGAGGGTAATGGAGTGAATCAGTGAGCCAGAACTGGTGTGTCAGTCTAAGGATTGATAACAGTGGCAGTTTGGGAGTTTCACAAAACAAGAACATTTGGTTATCTTTAGCTTACTATCTATGTACAGCTGGTGGAACACGGGCCTTACAAGGAGCCTACAAGTCTGGCTACGTCATAGTACTATGAAAGGTTTTCCGTCCTTCACATGCACATGGGTGTTCATTGCAGCACTGTTTACAATAGCAAAGACCTGGAACCAACCCAAATGCCCATCGATGATAGACTGGACAGGGAAAATGTGGTACATATACACCATGGAATATTACGCAGCCATCAAAAACAGTAAGTTCGTGTCCTTTGTAGGGGCATGGATGAACCTGGAAACTATCGTTCTCAGCAAACTGACACAAGAGCAGAAAATCAAACGCCACATGTTCTCACTTACAGGCAGGTGTTGAACAATGAGAACACATGGACACGGGGAGGGGAGCACCATACACTGGGGTCTGTTGGGGGAAAATGGGGGAGGGATGGGGGGTGGGGAGGTGGGGAGAGAGAGCATGGGGAGAAATGACAGATATAGGTGAGGAGGAGGAAGGCAGCGAATCACACTGCCATGTGTGTACCTATGCAACCATCTTGCATGTTCTTCACAGGTACCCCAAAACCTAAAATGCAATAAAAAAAAATTAAAAGAAAGAAAGGTTTTACGTCCTTGAGCACAATGTTTATGGTAACAGAACCTAGGGCGCCCTGCACCAGCATGGGAGGCATGGACAGGCCTTCCTCCCCAGAGGCCTCCTGCAGCCTTCCAGAGTTTATTGTTCCTGATTTCTTTTATACATATAACCAGTTTATGTAGGCACTCTGTAAGTCCTTTCTCCTCTGCTGCTTTTCCCAACAGGAGATTATCAGAAGCACTTATCTACATCAATTCATGGACAGTCACTCATGATTTGGCTGGCTGGCTGGGAAATTGTAAAGAACAAGATTGGAAGGTTAATGTCAAGGAAGACGAGAGAAGTATTTAAACATACCTTTCAGACTGGGCGTAGAGTGTGAAGATTTTATAGTGCTGTGTGAATAGTCACCAAAGGGAATCTAATACAGAGGAGGTTTTCAGTAATCAGGTGGACACGCTGACACATCCTATGGATCACAGAGCCAAACCATCAGTCAGCCTCTTTCTTCAGTCACCCCAGGTCCTAGTTAATGGAAGCAAACACAACGTAGCCATGTTGTAGGGATGGAGGCTATGCGCAGACTCAGCAACACAGTCTTCCTCTCGGCAAGACCAGTCTGGCTACTGCCACTGCTGACTACCCAACCTATCAACACCAGAATCTAATAATGCTGACCTCTTGATATAGCACTCTTTTCTGAGGGTGGGAAGCAGCCAGCCGCCTGGTGGCAGGTTGATTACATTGTACCTCTTTTATTATGAAGTGATTTGTCCTCACCGAAATGTATATATTCTGCATACAGATATGCATTCCTTGTCTGTAATACTTCTGCTATATGAGGACAGAATGTTATTCACTACCATGGCATTTCTTAGGAGTTTGTGTCCCCCACCTAACTTCGCATGTTGACGTCCTAACTCCCACAACGTAACCTTATTTGGAAATAGGGCTACTGCAGATGTAGTTAGTTGAGATGTGGTGATTAGGGAGGGATGTAATCTAAAAGGACTAGGAAATAAAAGGGGAAATTTGGACAGAGAGACATGTACAGGTGGAGTCTGGCATGTGTAGATGACGGCAGCGATCAGAGTAATGCTTCTACAGGTCAAGGAATGCCACAGACTGCCAGCAAAGTACCAGAAGCTAGGCAAGAAATATGGTTTGCATTGTGACTTTACAATAAATCCTGAACTTGAGTATTGTTGGTCCTCAACTTTGTTCTTCTCCTTCAATATTGTGTTGGCTAACACGGGTTTTGCTTCTCATAAATGTCAGAATCAGTTTGTCACTATCCACAAAATAACATTTTGATTGAGATTGTGTGGAATCTAGATCAAGCTGGGAAACACTGGTATCTTGACAATATTGATTCTTCCCATCCATGGACATAGACTATTTCTACATTTATTTAGTTCTCTGATTTCCTTAATCAGAGCTTTGTAGCTTTCTTCATTTAGATTTTGTGCATATTTTGTTAGATTTATATCTGAGTACTTAATTTCGGGGAGCTGCTAATGTAAATGACACTTTTACATGTCATATTTCACTTGTTCATTGCTGACAGATAGGAAAGCAATTGAATTTTGCAAATTAACCAGGCATCCTGCAACCTTGCTGTAACTGTTTATTAGTTCTAGGAGATTACGGTTGTTTCTTTCAGACTTTCTCACAGAAAATCATTTCATCTGTCAACAAAGAGCGTTTTGTTTCTTCCTTCGCAATCTGTATACCTTTTATTTTCTGTTTCTGTCTTATTGCATTAGTTAGAACTACCCCCCCCATAAAATGCTGAAAGGAGTGGTGAGAGTGGACATTCTTGTCTTGTTCCTGATACTAGCAGGCAAACTTCTCACCATTAAGTATGTTCGCAGCACAATTTTTTTTTAGATGTTCTTTATAAAATTGAGGAAGTTACACTCTATTTGTAGTTTGTTAAGAGTTTTCGCATAAAGTGTTGGATTTTGTGAAATGCTTTTTCTGCATTTACTGATATGATCATGTGGTTTTTCTTCTTTAGTCTGTTGATACTACGGATTACATTAACTACTATTTAAATGTTAAATCAGCCTTGGATACATGGGACATCATTGTTTTTTCCATTCCATCATTTGCTGCATTCGGACTGAAAAGTGGTTACACTTAATGAAATCAGTGATACGGACTTTCTTCTGCTATTGTTACTTGTTTCTGTATGTTTTGTAACTTTCTTGCCCCTCATTTTCCTCATGACTGTCTGTTGTGTTCAGTTTATTTATTTTTGGTACTGATATCTTTTGATTCCCTTCTCATTTCTTCTTGTTTTCCATAGATATTTTCCTTGTGGTTACCAAAAGCATTACATATGACAACCTAAAGTTTAAACAATCTAAACTGATTCCAAATTAACTTCAATAGCATAGAAAAACTTATGACTATACAGCTCTGTCCCACACCCTTTGTTATTGATGTCCCAAATCTTTATACATTGAGTGTTCGATAACATAGATTTATTTTTATGTCTTTGTCTTTTAATTCCTTAGAAAACAAAAAGTGGAGTTAGAAGCCAAAATTACAATAATATTGTTTTTGGTTTTGTTTTTTTATATTTGCCATTGTATTTACTTTACCAGTCATTGTCTTAGTCTATTTTTCTTCTACTATACCAGAGTACCACAGACTGGATAATTTATAAAGAAACTTATCTGGCTCAAGGTTCTGGAAGCTGGGAAGTCCAAGAGCATGAGGCCAGCATCTGGTGAGGGCCCTTGTGCTGCATCATCCCATGGCAAAAGGTGGAAAGACAAGAGAGTGTGTGAGACAGAAAAGGGATCAGGGCTCAACTTCAGAATATTTTTTATCAGGAACCCACTCCCATGATAACTAACTCACTCCCATGACAATGGCATTAATCCATACATGATGGCAGAGCCTTCATGACCTAATCATCTCTTAAAGGTTCCACCTCTTAATACCATCACAATGGCAATTAAATTTCAACATGCATTTTAGAAGGGACATTCAAACCACAGCCACCAGAAATATATTTCTTCACTCAGGTTTGAGTTATTGTTTACCATCCTTTCATTTCACCTTGAAGGAATCCCTTTAGCATTTCTTGTATGGCAAATCTAGTGGTAACAAGCTCCCTAACATAGATTTATAATTGATTTATGGTTTTAATTCCTATGAAAAATAAAAAGTTATGAACTAAAGTTGTAAAATACTGGTTTTTATATTTGCCCTAGTATTTTTCTGTCCTGGAGATATTTCTTCATATGGCTTCAAGTTACTTCTAGTGTTCTTTCATCTCACTGAAGGACTCCCTTTAGAGTATCTTGTCAGGCACATCTTGCAGTATCAAGCTCACTAAGCTTTTGGTTTTAATCTAGGCATGTCTTAATTTCTCCCTTATTTTTTGGAGGACAGTTTTGCTGGATTATTCTCAGTTGACAGGTTTTTTTATTTTCTTTCAACATTTAAAATATATCATCCTGTTGTCTTCTGGTCTCCATGTTTTCTCATTAAAAAGTTAGGACCCATTGTATGTGACGAGTTGATTCTCTCTTGCTACTTTGAAAATTCTTTGTTGATTTTTGATAGTTTTCATACAATGTGTCTTGGTGTGAATCTCTTTGAGTTTATGGTATTAGAGGTTGTGTAGAGGCTTCTTGGATTTGTAGACTTACATATTTCATCAAATCTGGAACGTTTTCAGCCCTTATTTTAAAAATATTTTCTACTTTTTTCTAGGACTGACTCTCACAAATCATATGGTGGTCCAGTTGATGGTAACCTACAAGTTTTTAGGTCTATTCACTTTTCTTTATTCTTTGTTCCTCAGGCTGGATAATTTCAACAGCTCTATCTTCAAATTTGCTGATTCCTTCTTCTGCCTAATCAAAAACTCTATTGAAGCCTGGGTGCAGTGGCTCACACCTGTAATCCTAACACTTTGGGAGGCTGATGTGGGTGGATCACAAGATCAGGAGTTTGATACCAGCCTGGCCAACATGGTGAAACCTTGTCTCTACTAAAAATACAAAAATTAGCTGGGTGTGGTGGCACGCACCTGCAATCCCAGCTACTCGGGAGGCTGAGGCAAAATTGCTTCAACCCAGGAGGTGGAGGTTGCGATGAGCTGAGATAATGCCACTGCACTGGGCGAGAGAGCAAGACTATCTCGGGGTGGGGGTGGGAGGGCAGGAGCAAAAAAATCCCCACCACCTCTATTAAACCCTTCTAGTGATTTTTTCATTTCAGTGTTGCACTTTTCAGCTCCAAAATTTCTACCTGGTTCTTTTTTATAATTTTTATATCTTTATTGATATTCTCATTTTGTTCAACCATCATTTCTCTGATTTCCTTTAGTTGTCTTTTAACTCTTTGAGCATATTTAAGACAATTGTTTAGTCTTTGTCTAGTAAGTCCAAAGTCTCGGATTCCTTAAGGGTAGTTCCTTTCAATTAATTTTATTCTTGTGAATGAGCCACATTCCTTTTTCTTTGCATGCTTTGTGATATTTTTGTTAAAAACTGAACATCTGAGTATTATAATGTGCAACGGAAATTAGACTTTCACCTTTCCCTAGGGTTTATTATTATTGAAAGATGTTGTAGTCTATACGTTCAGTTACTTTTCAATAATAATACAAATTATTATTACTACTATTATCGAAGGCTATAGTAGTTCATGTTTATTTTCTAAATTATTTTTGCAGATTGTATTCTTGAAAGCGTGGTCACTGAAATCATTGTTCATGTGCAGTTAGTTTTGACAAAAATGTCCTTGAATTACAGCAGCTTTATAAAACACACACACACACACACACACACACACAAACTTCTTCCAGTCATTATAGATCAGTTTTGTACTAGGATCCTCCTTCAACACTTATCCAGGCTTGCACCAAACCTAGGAATCAACCGTAAATAAAAAGCTTATGGTCTGCTCAGGACTTTTCAGAGCACGTGTTTTGCCCTGTGGCCTTCTAAGCTCCCCTGCACATTAGTTATTTTGAATGTCTTAATTTCCCAAATAATCTTCCCTATATTTTCTTCCAAGCTTTAGGTGGTCTACTATTTTGACTGCAAAGTTTTGCCCCAGTTGTCTGCAGGTTTTCAGTTCTCCTTAGAGCATTTTTGAGCAATGCTCCAAATGCATATTTCCAGCTTGGGTTCTGAGTTAGAAGGAACAGAGAAGAGCACCTTTTGTCAGTCCTTCAAGAAGTTCCCTAGACAAGTTAAAACAGACATAAGCAATACTTTGTGAGTAAAGTCTGATCTGTGAATAAAGCTGGATCGGAACCAGACACTAGAGATGCACACTGAGAAAACTGGCTGGAACTGCCTCCATGCTAGAGGTGTTGGGGGCAAGATCAGGTAAAAAATGTCACAAAGCTTCCTCAAGTTTTCAAGTAGTCTTTTTCTTGATTCATTTTTCTTGATTTGCTTGGTGGCTGTAAACCTCTGAATGTTTTCCAGAGGTCTAACATAGTTTGACAATTTCTGCTTGTTTTTTTATGTTTCTGTGTGGGAACAAACAGTTGGATCTGCCTGTTCCACCATTTTTGCTGATGTCACTCTACATACATTCCTGATTTAAAATACTTGGAAGTTGAAAAGTAGATGTATCAAAATTCACCTTAAAACATATATATATATATATATATATATATATATATATATATAATACACACACACACACACACACACACACACCACACACACAAACTGCTAGGCTCAAGCAATCCTGCCTTGGCCTCCCAAGTAGCTAGGACTACAGTCATGCAACCCCATGCCCAGCTAATTCTTTTTAATTTTGGAGATATGGGGTCTTGTTGTGTTGTCCAGGCTGGTCTGGAACTTCTGGCCTCAAGTGATCCTCCTGCCTCCATCTCCCAAAGCACTGGGATTATAGGAATTAACCAACATGCCTTAAAATATTTAATTTTTTTTTTTTTTTTTTTTTTGCGACAGAGTTTCACTCATTACCCAGGCTGGAGTGCAATGGCGCGGTCTTGGCTCACCGAGACCTCCGCCTCCTGGGTTCAGGCAATTCTCCTGCCTCAGCCTCCTGAGTAGCTGGGATTACAGGCACACGCCACCATGCCCAGCTAATTTTTTGTATTTTTAGTAGAGACGGGGTTTCACCATGTTGACCAGATGGTCTCGATCTCTTGACCTCGTGATCCACCCGCCTCGGCCTCCCAAAGTGCTGGGATTACAGGCGTGAGCCACCGCGCCCAGCCTAAAATATTTTTTTAATTGTGGTAAAAAAAAAAAAAAAACAAGTGTAATATAAAATTTACCATCTTAACCATTTTAAGTGTAAAGTTCAGTAGTGTTGTATTTACACTGTTGTGCAAAAGATATCTATACCTTTTT